GAGTCTAGGGATCGAGTTGTGAGCTCATCTCCGAATTGAGTCTGGGGACCGAGTTGTGAGCTCGTCTCCGAATTGAGTCTGGGGACCGAGTTGTGAGCTCGTCTCCGAATTGAGTTTGGGGACCGAGTTGTGAGCTCGGCTATGAATTGAGTCTGGGGACCGAGTTGTGAGCTCGGCTCCGAATTGAGTCTGGGGACCGAGTTTGTGGACTCGGCTCCGAATTGAATCTGGCAGGTCGTCAGTCGGGAGCAATCTGAAGCGACCCAGGTAGGATTGAACTTGGAGGCCAGCGAGGTGTAGGTCAAGAAACGATCTGGAGAGGCTCAGGCAAGAGCTGGGCCTGCGAGGCGTAGATCAGGAACCGATCTGGAGAGACTTGGGCAAGAGTTGGGCCGACAGGCTGCAGATCGGGAACCGATCTGGAGAGGCTCGGGCAAGAGCTGGGCCGGCGGGGCACAGGTCAGGAATCGATTTGGAGAGGCTCGGTCAAGAGTTGGGCTGGCAAGCCATAGGTCGGGAACCAAACTGGAGAGGCTCGGGCAAGAGTTGGGTTGATGAGCCGTAGGTCTGGAATCAATCTGGAGAGGCTCGGGCAAGAGCTGGGCCGGTGGGCCGTAGGTCGGGAATCGATCTGGAGAGCCTGTGGACCTCTTGAAGCGAGTGGCTTTTCGGCGAGAGATTTTGGATGATGAGGCATCTTTCGATGGGTCCCCTAGGATGTGAAGTTGCTTCTCGGGGTTCCTCGAGATAGCACATGAGGTGACCTTTTCGGATGAAGTCCTCGCTTTGATTCTGGAGGTCACGACAATCTTCCATGTCGTGGCCGTAGTCCAGGTGGAATATACTCAGGGGGATAGGCAGAGGCCTCGGGAGCAGTAGTTCTTGTCAGTTGTGCCTCTTGCGAGGTTGCACCGAGGCTACAGAAGTCGTTCCTCAGGATTGTTCCGCCCTTGGCCTCTTGCTGTTCATTCGCTTTTCCGCCACCAAAGCTTCGGCGGCGATGTACCGGTTGGCACGCTGGAGCATCTCGGGAATGGTTACTGGCGGCTCTCGATCAATGACCAGAAGAATCTTGAAGGCTTCAAGCTAATCAGAAACGCCTGCAGCATGATAAGAGAGGGGTGAGCGTCCGGGAATCCCCGGATCTCAGTGGCAAAGCGTGCCACGAATTGAGAGAGCGACTCTTCTTCGTGCTGGGATAGCGCGAGCAGGGTGGCCATGGAAGGCCTAGTTCGCACGCTGGCGAGGAAGTTCTGCTCAAACTCCTTGGTGAGTTGGTCGAAGGATGAGACCGAGGATTGGCATAGCAGGCTGAACCATGCTCGTGCTAGTCCCCTTAGAGTGGTCGGAAATACCTAGCACATCAATGCATCGGAGGTGCCATAAAGGGCCATCTGAGCCCGGAATGCAGAGACGTGCTCCGTGGGATCGGAGCCGCCGTCGTATGTCTCCAATGTCAGTAGCCTGAAGTTGAGAGGTACTGATTTGCCCTATACTTCCTGAGTGAAAGGGGACCTGCCCGAGCCGCCTTCGCTGGACTCGCCCCGCGATTTTCGAAACTCATGCTAGAACGTGTCCAGACGTTGGTTGACCTGGGACAATTGAGCCCTAAGCGAGTCGTCCGCCAAGTCGGATGATACGGTGTCAGGCTCGAAGTGGGGTAGTGTGACTTGGCAGGGTGCGGGTATGCTCTGCTCGGGCGGACCTCTCGGGTCCGTCGTTTGGTCTCGGGCTTCTCCCATCCCGACCTGCTCCCTACTCAGCCTTTGCTGGGTCGGGTCAATTGAGGGAGCTGCTAGCTGCACGATCTGGGGAATAAGCGGGACGAGCATCTGCATCATCCCTGCCATCACTTTTACTTGCTTGGTCAGGCTGAGGAACGTCTCGGGCGACACGGTCGAGGGTCCCATGGTAAGCCCGAGAGGTGGTAACCCTAGGTCGTTGAATGGGTACCAGTAGCGATCTTGCATCGAGGCCGGGATCCCCCCATCTCGAAGAATGGGGAGAGGCTGATCTTAAGGCCCGATAGAAGGGTGACCGACTGCTAGTTCTCCCTCTGGGAGAGCTCCCGTGGGATGCTCCTGCGACATGGTCCTCCTTCTAGCGCCAAAATATTAGCGAACAAATGTGCCGTGGCTTATGAGTCAGCATGGCCTGGTCCACGGGTCGATGTCGGGAGTCTTCTGTCAGTTGAGCTGGATGCCAAGGTCGATCGGGCCCTCGTGACGAGGTGTTGATCAACGTTCCTTGGTGTGCCGATTCGGGCACCGTGTATGCCGAGCTACGTCTCTCTTTCTCCGGGGTGGTTGGCTGCTCGTCTTCGTGAGGTGGCCGCACCCTCGGGAAGGAGTGTTGGTTGCATTGGTCGGGATCCGCACTGATTGGCTGCTCTCCTTCGTGCATTGGATGGTGATTCCCAAGTGGTTGGCAGCTTGCCTTCGTGAGGTGGCCGTATTTTCTTGCAAGAATGGCCCTTGTCGGGATCACCCGACGAGGCCCCTCCGACGAACAAGTCAGTCGAGTGATTAATTGATATTTTTTTCCTCCCTCTGTCATATGCTAGCTAGAGGTCTTTATATTACTGTACGTGGGTCGGTCATACGTAGATTGGCGTGGTAGACATGCCGAGCAGTGCCTTAGTATAGATTCTGACTTAACGTGTCTTGGGGACGATATTGTCTTAGGGTTCCCGAGACCGAGTAGTGCCTTAGTACGAATTCTG